TCCTAGTGGACTTTTCTCATACAGAGGGCATTCAGTGGCCCTCCCGGTTGCATTTAAAACAAATCCCCTCTCGATTGGGTGATGCCTCTGATCCATATTTTCTAGATCTGCCCCTGCATAAGCTTTTGCAAGGGAGAGTAACACTGAGGTGGTACTGGGGTTAGGGCTACCATAACTGTGTTTCTAGTTGTTGTCCTTGAATCTTAAAAATATAAGAAGAGAATGTGCTTCCAGAAAGTTAAGTGAGTAGACCTCCTAAAGGACTTTCACAGAAATAAGTCCTAACAGAAATTTTACAGGTAGTTTAATTGACTGGATCCATGATAGCCCCTGATTCTGGGGTAGGAAATTTGCCCCCCCCCAAAAAAAAAGTGTTCAAGTAAGCAGAAAAAAATTAAAAAGGGGGATTGCAGCCAACCAGCCATAAGAAAAGGTCTGCTCGGCAAAGACAATGGTGAGGTCTCCATCTCTGTGTGGTGAGCCTGGGAAACTGCTTGGATTAGTCAAGGAGAAGAACAAAAGCCAGTGGGAATGAAAGTGATCTGAGTCCAAGGCCTCCATCCTTAAGAGAGAGGAAGGAGGAGAAGGAGACCTAGACCCTGAGTCAACTAAGCAGATTATCTTTTAGTGCTCTCTGAGAAAGAAAAAAGAGAAACAAACAGAGTTGAAGGATAAGACTGGAACACAAGGCAACATAGTGATAATAATACAATGCAAAGTCACCTTCAGGATTGGCCCTTGTGATTTTTAGCTTAGCATTGTTGAATCAGGCATCCAACAGGGTTAAATGCACTTAACTTGTGTTGTATTAGTCACTCAGTCATGTCTGACTCCTTATGACCCCATGGACGTTTGACCCACCAGGCTCAGGTTAATAGCAGTTTGACCTGAAGGGAGCCAAACGAGGCTTACTTTTTCACAGAAGTAAAACAAAGGCACCATCCGATCTGCTTGCAAAGCTGGTAAGGAGGCTCAAGGATGAATGTGCAGTCTAAGAAGTCAGAAGGGAACTAGAAAAGGAGGATATAAGAGAAATTCAGCATGAAGATCTCCAGGAAAAGACAAGAAGTTATACAGCCATGATGCTTCCAAGACTAGAGATTTGAAAGCTCTTAAGAAAGGTGCCCTCTGTGGGAGAAGGTGAGGGTGGGATGATCTGAGAGAATAGCATTGAAACATGTATATTATTAGTTGTGAAACAGATCTCCAGTCCAGGTTGGGTGCATGAGACAAGTGCTCATGGCAGGTGCACTAGGATGACCCAGAGGGATGGGATGGGGAGGGAGGTGGGAGGGGGGTTCAGGATGGGGAACACATGTAAATTCATGGCTGATTCATATCAGTGTATGACAAAAACCACAACAATATTATAAAGTAATTAGCCTCCAACTAATATAAATAAAAAAAAAAAAGGTGCTTGATCATGACCTCTGCACAGGGGTTAAATAAAGCATATGACCCTCTCAAGGGAAGTGCTCATCTGTGACTTCTGTTCAGAACTGCAATGAGGTTGTGAACCCTAAGAGGCACAAGGAGAGGGCCAGGCCAAAATCTTATTGGGTACTCCTATAGTCCCCTCTTTGGGGCTCCCTGATGTGGTTCCAGTATCCTAGAACAAGGCTTAGACTAAGATAAAGTAGGGTTTGGAAATCAGGCTTGAGGAGCTACGGACAGAAAACTCATGCAATCAGGTTGCCAATTACCTGCTTCACAGTCTTAATTTGGCAGTCCTGAGTGGTCATCTCAGTAGATCTTCCGGAGTCAAAAGAGATAGAGCAGTAGAGAATAATAAGAAAGATTGAGGCAAGAAAGGCCTGGGGCTTGGCATGTTCTTTCATAACCAGAGAGCTGGATTCTGCCAAATTCCCTCAGGGGCTACATGAATCTACACTGTTCAGGATGAATGTGTCCCAGCCCAATAGGCAGATCCAAATTATGCTCTTTGAGGTCCCTCTGTGTTAGCCAGAAAGTGTTGCAGGAGAAGGGCGAGCAAGATAATGATCCTTTCCCAGGTCTTGGGCAAGTTCCTGGAATGGGCCACCAAGTGAAAATCCTTGGCTTTGCAGAGGAAAGAAATCAAGAGTGAGCCAAAGTAAAGTGGGATAATTTGTATTTAGAGAGATATACCTAGGCAGAATGTAGACAATTTCAGAAAGTGAGAGCTGCCCTAGGATTAGGGCAGTTTTTAATGGGTTGGGGAACTTCATACACTAACAAGTGAGAGGATTGTTCCAATTATTTGGGGAAAGGGGTAGGGATGTCTAGTTTTGTCACAGTTTGACCTTTTATGGTCAGCCTTAGAACTGTCATGGTGCCCTGTGGATGGTCAGTTAGCATGCTAATGTATGACAGTGTTCATATACTGAAGGTCAGGGTCTACTAGATGTCAAATTTCCTGCCATCTTAAGCCTATTAAAAAAAAGTCCTACCAGTTTTTGTCATTTACTGTTTTGATCAATGGCTGTCATTTTTTTAAAGGTTGTGCCCAGCTGCTTGCCCTCCTGTCTCAATGACTTGGGCTATTTCAGAGAGTTATTCAGTTTTGCTGGGTCTCTGTCATGTATACAGAGAGTATAGATGTTAGTAAACTTCTTTTTTTTTTTTTCCTGTTAACCTGACTTTTATTATAGAGGATAGCTCAGCCAAGAACTAGATGGGTAGAGAAAAAAAAATTTTTTTCTTTACTGCAATTTACCAATAATTCAGGGTATGCTACTTCTATCTTTCAGTTCAGTTCAGTTCAGTCACTCTGTTATGTCCTACTCTTTGTGACCCTATGGACTGCAGCACGCCAGGCTTCCCTGTCCATCGCCAACTCCCAGTGCTGCTCAAACTCATGTCCATCGAATCGTGATGCCATCCAACCGTCTCATCCTCAGTCGTCCCCTTCTCCTCCTGCCTTCAGTCTTTTCCAGCTTCTATCTTGCTTCTCAGCAAACAAAGTCCAGGGATATGATGTGATTCCCCTAGGCCATAGAGCATCAGGTCGAACAATAGATACATATCTCTTGATTCTATTGTTTACCACCTGACATGTGGAAGTGTCTGGAATAGACATTCGTGCTCAGTTCCAAACTTCCTTAGAGTATTTTCAATAATAACAACTGACAAAACAGCAGATATTACCATCATTTTCTGGCTTTCATGATGCCATTCATTTTCTATTTACTCATTCTGCATTTATTAGAGCATGTAGTATGTGTGCTTGCTTAGGTTTCTAGAAATAAGCTTACTTTGTTTAATGCTCTGTTTTGCCATTAATGCTCTGTTGTTGCCATGTGAAATTCTATCTGAACATGTGTGTGAGCAGATGTACTATACTGGGTAGCAGCCACGGCAAAGAGTTCTGGTTCAGTAGCAGGACTAGTTTATGCCAGCTTAGGCAGCAGTACATGTGTGTGTGCTTGGAACTCAGTGATGCCCAACTTTTTGTGACCCCATGGACTATAGCCTGCCAGGCTCCTCTGTCCATATTATTTTCAGACAAGAATAATGGATTGGGTTGCCAGTGCTTCCTCCAGAGGATCGAACCCACATCTCCTGCCTTGCAGGCAGATTCTTTACACACTTAATCATCCACAGTAGCAGGATCTGTTTATGTCAGTTCAGGTGGTAGTATGTGAAGCAAATGGCCTGGCCTACCATAATGTGTGCACATACATCTGTGTTCAGATCTTCACAGGACACCAAGGGATGGGCTACCTCGAAATCTGGGTACAGATTGCTGGTGGTGATAAGGGCAGCTGCAGATGCAACTACAATGTTACATGTGGTCACTGACTAGAAGAAAAAAGAAGGAGCTTTGCCTGGAAGAAACAATGACCAATGGTGGAGGTAGGGACCAAATTAAACTTCCATCCTAAAGCCCAACAGTTTGTCATGTACAAAATTATTCACTACATCACTTCATCACTAGAGTGCCAGGACAAATGCTAAGAGCTCAGGCAGTCAACTTTTTCAGTAAATAAACAAAATAATAGTGTAAAAATTGTCATTGAAATAAAACACATCAAGAAATTGTAAGCATTCATGAAACTGTACAGAAAGTAAGTTATTTTTCTTTAAACTGTTTCAACATTACAAATCAAATATCCACAGTTCTAGAAATAGAAATGACATTTTAAGATTTTAAAATTAATATGAAAGATCATTCATGGAAAACAATAATTTCTTTATGTAAAATTATAGGAAACAATCATTAGCAAATTTTAACTCAATTTACCTTCTAATTGGATATATGGTGGTAAAATTAAAGAAAAGGCATTTGAAACCTCATGATACTTCTGGTTTCCTATACACAGTCTACAAATTATGAGAAATTTGACAGAAATAATTGATGACACAGACTGAATCTATATTTAAAATAAAATTCAGATTTACATGAAACTGATTTGTGTGAATTGATGAAGTAAACTTGACTTATAAGAGAACTTTTGAGAAAAAGAAACTCTCCTTTTGAATTATTAGTTCCACATGTGCTAAAAGTTACACTTTGGCATAATTTATCAATAATTCAATCCAAGGTTTTCATAACTTACAAATGCTCCTAATGGCTTCAGTAATATTAGCAGAAAGATTCATTTCAAAATTAAAAGTAATCAGTAATTAACTGCAAAATTTGTACTTGTTACCTCTGACTAAAAAAATTTCACCTACATTAAAAAAATAAATTTTCTAAAAGTATAAATTTTTATAAATTCATAGAAATGTGAGTTTGGGCATGGCCAATAATGACATATGAAAATAGTGATTACTTTTTATTATGCATAAAATTGTGACACAATATATTGTTTGCAATTTGTATTGTATTTCATATTTAGCAAAATAATGTTGAAGAAAAAACTATATTTGAGAAAGGATAATGGCAACTTTTTCCTCTTTTTAACAAGACACTTCAAATTTTTTATCCTTTCAGTTAAGCGTAAAGTAATGTTTTTATCACTGTACATTGATGAATGGATTTATGCTCAAGTCTTGGTATGCATGGAAAAAGGCTTTGTCTACATTTTCACAGAGCAGAGTCTCTGAGCTACTCTTCTCAATGCCTCCATTACTTCCTTGTTTCTCAGGCTGTAGATAAGAGGGTTGAGCATTGGGGTCAAGACGGTGTAGAAGACAGCCAGAGCCTTGTCCTCTGTTGGAGATCGAAGGAATCTTGGACGTAGATATGTATAAACAAAGGGTGCATAGTAGAAAGTCACCACAGTGAGGTGGGTGCTGCATGTTGAATAGGCCTTCTTCTTCCCTTCTGCTGAGTTCATGCGATAGACAGTAAAGAGAACACAGCCATAGGAACAAGCAATAACAATAAAAGGCAACACAAGAAATAGGGTGGTACTCACAAACACTGTGTACTCATAGACCCAGGTGTCAATGCAGGCCAGAGTCAACATGGCTGGGACATCACAGAAGAAATGATTGATGGCCCTGGATCTGCAATAAGGGATATGGAGGGCATATGTGGTGTGGGCACAGGAGTTGATAGAGCCCATTATCCAAGATCCTATTATCATCAGCACACACACTCTTCTGCTGATTCTTATGGGATAGTGAAGAGGAAAGCATATGGCCACATAGCGATCATAAGCCATAGATGTCAAAAGCAATGCTTCTGCAACTGCTAAAGTCAAAAAGAAGAAGCTCTGAATCCCACATCCAATGAAGGAGATAGACTTGTTTCCAAACAGAAAATTGGAGGCCATTTTGGGAACAATGGTGGAGATGTAATTTAGGTCAATGAAGGAGAGCTGACTAAGAAGGAAATACATTGGTGTATGGAGATGCGTGTCAAGAAAGATGAGAAGGATCATTGACAGGTTGCCAAATAATGCCATTAAGAAAATAAGAACAATGAAAATAAAAAGAAACAGGCCAATTATTGAAGGGGAGAACAATCCAATTAAGATGAAATCATTTGATGTCCAATTATAGGTTTCCATGAATCATTGATATGTTTTTTTTTTCCTAAAGACAGACATAACAGTAAGTTATTCTTAAATGACTAATTTAGTTCAGTCATAAAAATTCAAGACTGAATTTTTATCTATTTTGCAAAAGATAAATTTAAATTTTAAGCCAGAGATTGAAAGTTTAAGATGCAAACATTTTTTGCCAAAGTTTTCCCAGAAATCTTTGAATTTACTTCTAAAAATTATTAAGAAATCATTAAGATAAGTATTTTTACTGCCTACATGAACTCAAGTATCATCAAAATCAGATATCATAATTGAAATATATTCATAGGACATTAATGCAAAAGCATACATTATATAATTCTGTAAATAAATATTTATTACCCTTAATGAATTATTTATCTTTCATAGTCAAACCCAAAAGCTTACCTCTAAAATGATATCAATCTATCAGCTGATGATAGGAAGCTATTAATATTTTTCTTTCTTCAGAATTTTTTTACATAGAAATGTCAAATCAAGCTTATTTGAAGCCAATTAATATCATTTGGCTCATTCATTGTGAAATCTAGGATGAATCCTTATTGTTAAGTACTGTTTACACAGTCATTCTCTTCTTCCTCCTCAACATTCTGAATACTATAGATAACGTAGACCCTTTACCTGAATATCTATAAAATGTGCCCCTTGTAGCTTTTGTGAATTTACTCAATGTCTCCCATTAGCATAAATTTTATTTTTTAATCATTATTTGATAAATATTGCTTACATTGCTTTGCTGTATTCATTTCATTTTTTAGCATTTTTTGTACTTAAAATTATTTTCAATTCTAGATGAGTATGTTCAGTTAAGTACATATATTTATAATCTCCTTCTTCTTAAAAACCTATCATGATGATTAAGAAATAGACATGTGCTAAACTAAAAGGGAACAGGGAAACATATGGCACAATGAGAGATGAAATATTCTAAGTTCTTTTGAAAGAAGAACTTTGAATAGAGAAGTGGTCAATCATTTAATGGAAAACAGAAAATGACATTCTGAAAGTATTCTCATGAATGAATATTGGAAAAAGCATTCTCAATGATATTATAATTCTACACTGCATGTTGTGTTTTACTTGTAAATATTATTCTAGAGCCAATTTTTTCCAGACTTTTAAAGGAACTGCTAAACATGAAAGAGAAAGCTGAATATGGGCACATACACATACACATACTGAAACACACACAATCATATACAAATATAAAGTGAGTTAAATAATTGAAAAAATGAAAAAGAGAACACTTTAAAAAATGACTTATATCTTCAAAGAAGTATAAGATATTATTAAATCACATATCATTAGATATGTAAAAGAGACAGGTAAGAGAGTCTTTTGCAAATTAAGAAAAAAAGATAATCAATAAAAATATTAAAGGGAAGTTTCAAACACAAAATGGAAAAAATCCTATAGAATTAATATTTAAAATAGAACAGCAACAAACATCTAATTATGTTGCCATATTGAAGGGACAGGAGAATTAGAGAAGCAATATAAGGAAACCAACATGTATGTATAGTCATTCCTAGAAATGCATATAAAAAATAATAATGGAGTTAATATCATCAAAGAAAAATACTTTCAGTATTGATATACATGAGTCACTATATTAAAATATCATGAATAGAAAACAGAAAAATAAATGAGAAATACTATATTGCAAAATAACTTTTTTAGGACTTTAAATGTCTTCTTGAATATGTTTTCTGAATATTCTCAACATTGCCTATAAATACATAGCTCTAAAAATGTCTTGATAGTAAAAATACCAATAATGAGAAGAATTGTATACAGAGAAATATACACTAAAATATCATGATTTTAAAAGAATTTATATTCTTCTATTGTAGCAATCTATAGTGGAAGATTAAACAATGTTGTCAACCTAGTCACTGCAGATGCAAAGTCAGATGTAACTATGTTGAAATGATGGTAACACACACAAAAGAGGTGGAGATGGCGGTATATAGAGCGAAATGTCTTTGTTCACAATAGCCAGGGAGAAGAGTTGAGGTGGTATTGGTATTTAGGAAGTATTAAATATAAGCATATTGGTGAAAAATGTATTGCTAAATAGAGGGAAATGTGCTAAAATATTTTAAAATACATGCCTTAGGAATCAGGAGGAGTGGGTGATGAAACCATTGGCTCATTCTGTTGGCCACTAAGATCATGTTCTTCTTTACTTGAATAAAATATTAAAGTGGTATAAACTAATGTCATAATTAAAAATTTAACTCACAACTAACTCTATAATCAATGATGGAAGACTAAAATCTTTCTTTCAGATCAAGAACAAGACAAGAAAGTCCTCTTTTGTCATTTCTGATTAATATAGTACTGGAAGTACTAAAAAGAACCTCTAAGCAAGTAAAACAAACAAAGCAAAATCCAATCTATAAAGACAATAGTGAAATCATCATGGTTGAAAATATACATTATCTCATGTGTAGAAAATGAAGATCCATTAGGACTAATAACTCAGCAATGTTGCAGGATACTAAATCAGTGCATTTCTGTACACTAATAATGTATATTATGTATATACCAAAAAGAATTTAAGAAAACAATTACATTAACAGTATGATACAATTGAATAAAATTATTAGGAATAAACTTAACAAGGAAGGCAGAAAACTTGCTCACTGAAAATCACAAAACATTGCTTAAAGAAACTGAAGCAAAGACAAATAAATGGAAAAGTGCTCTGTGCCTTTGGTTGGAAAACTGAATATTGTTAAAATGCTGATACTACTATAAGCAAAGAACAGATGCAATAAAATATCTATCATAATCCCAAAAGGAAGTTGAAGAAATAGAAGAAATACATTCTAAAATTCATTAAAAAATTCAAATACATGGGCTAGCCCAAGCAATCTTATAAAATTTGGAAAATTCACTCTTTCTGAATAAAACTTACCACAAAGCTATAAAAACAAAGACTGTAGTATTGATATAAAGAAAAACAAAACCAAAACTTTAGAGATATCAGGAAAAAGACTTCACTTATGTGATCGAATGACTTTTTTGACACTTCTCATTCATACCTACAATCGGGATGTTCTTTCAATAATATTGCTAGGAAAACTACAGATCCATATGTATATATTAAAATTGGTCCATTATCTTACAGCATACACAGAAATTAGTTTAAATGAATGAAATAGCTAACTATAGAGCTAAAACTGTAAATTCTTAGAAGGAAACATGAAAGTTTCATAACATTGGATTTAGCTATTTATTCTTAGTCATAACACTGAAAGCATGTGTAACAATAAAAATATAGATGTATTCCATAAAAAGCTTCTGTGAATCAAAGAACTTTGTCAGAAGGGTGAATAAGCAACACACAAAATGGAAAATATCTGCAAAATGTATACCAGATAATGAATTGATACAAAGAGTATGTAAAGGACTACAACTCAACAACAACAGAAAAATGTTTAAATGGTGGACATATTTGAATGAACATTTCTTCAAAGATATACAAATGGCCAATAAACAGAGGAAAAGATACTCAATACCAAAAATTTTAGGGAAATTACAGTCAAAGTTACAATAAGATACCAACTTACTGCATGGGGAATAGTAGGGAAAAAAAAAAAGAAAATAACAAATTTTGGCAAAGATATGAAGAAATGAGAACACATGCAGTGTTGGAGGAAACACAAAATGGTGTAACCACTGTGGAAAATGCTATTGCAATTTCTAAAAAAAAAAAAAAAAAATAGAATCACCATATAACAAGATAATTCCACCTCCAAGTATATTTCCAAAATAAATGAAAGTGAAATTTAGAACAGATATCCATATACCCATGATTTTTGTCACTTTATTCACAATAGCTAAATGGTGGAAGCAACATAAATGTCCATTTACAGATTAATTACTAAACTTAATATATACATATCTATATGTGTGTATATATATATATGTATACATATATTTTGTGTTAAAATGGATGGAAATGCTGCTACATGTTACCATGTGGATGAAGCTAGCAGATATTAAGTCAAGTAAAATAAGACAGTCATGACAACCCATACATATGATTCCACATAATTCCACATATATGAGTTTCCCAGGGTAGTCAAACATATAGAGATGAAAGTGGAATGGTTGTTGCTAAAGACTGGCACACGAGAGGAGTGAAGAGTTAGTCTTTAATGAGTACAGAGTTTCAGTTGAGTAAGATAACAATGTCCTGTGTGATGTGGGTAATGTTTGTGCAATAATGTTAATATACTTATCATTGACCTGTACTCTTAAATATGGATAAAACGGTAAAAAATTATGGTAAGCATATTTACCACAGAAAAAATTCAAAAATGTAATTCAAATATAGTTGAAATTATGTAATATTTTAAGTTCCAGTGTTCAAACCTATGGCAGGTTTCTGGACATATACAGAAGAATCAACCTTTGAATACTGTTTGGTCTCTGACAGCTTTGCAAAGGAAAAAGTGGGAGAAATGTTTCTTCATAAATGCCACTTATGTTCAGAAACATATAGGATATGAACTTGATCCCATAGTATATACTTTAAATAAGTAACTTAATTAAGAGTAAGTTAAAATATAATATTTGAAATTAACAATGGAGTTATGATCATTCCCATCACATGTATTTTGAACTTCCCTGATGGGTTAGATGATAAAAAATCTGCCAGCAATGCAAGAAACCTGTGTTCAATCCCTGGGTCAGGAAGATTCCCTGGAGAAGGAAATGGCAACTCACTCCAGTATTCTTGCCTAGAGAATTCCATGGATAGAGGAGTCTGGTAGACCACAGTTCATGGTGTTGCAAAGAGTTGGACATGCTGAGCTACTAACACATACATTGCATTCATTTTCTATTGAGTAGTTAATATTATTACATTCTGAAGGTGAAAAATAAACAAGGGAAGCGATGAATGACACTTCATATCTGATGTTTTATCCCATGTGTTGTGACTGACCCTGGAGCAATGTTTTAGTTACTCA